GCAGGAATGATTTAATTAATTAGCCGAAGATTAATTAAGAATGAGATTTTAGATACGATCGAGAATTAAACCAATTTATTAAAGAAAATTGTTTAGATTTTTACTCTTAGCTCATCTTGGATTTAACATTTAAATTGAATTTTTAAATATGCATCTACAGAAGAATTTGTGGAGGATATAAATTAATTGATAAATTTAATTTAAAATAATTTAATTACTATTTGAACTGAGGAAATCGAGATGAAAAGCAACCGGGTAAGACAAGGAGAGTCTAGGATAATCCTCAAGCTACCCTCCTGTTTTAAGATATTTTCAAAGCTAGTCGAATTCTAATCATTTGGCTTTATTAATGCACTCTCCTTTCTCACAATTAAATAGGGATTCACAATTTCCTACTAGTTCTTTCGCCTAACGATGTGTAATCACACGCAGGTTTCACTAGTTTTGTGTACCTGCTATGCTGCATGCCATAACTCTCTTTTTTATATAAAAAAAAACCTAGCTTGGTGTCAAGTATATAAGTTAAATAATGAAATTAAGATAAAATAATAAAAAAAATTAAAGTTTAATTTTAAAAATCTAATATAAAAAAATAATATCTAAAAAAAATTAATATATATAAAAAAATTACACAATAAACTAAATTTTATGACCTAAATCATGAAAATGAAATAACCCAATAAAAAGTAAATCGAAAAACATTACAAAACTCAATTTTAAAACAACCTAATATTAAAAAAAAAAAGACAAACAATATTAAATTTAAAAAAGAAACCCAAAAATAGAAAGTCAACTCAAAACAACCCATCAAATTATATTTCTAAATGATGGGACTAGAATAGACTAATGAAAAGGAAATCGAATAAAATCACAAAATCAAATATATATATATATAAACAAAAACCCTCAACCTTAAAGGATGAAATCAAAAAAGAAAATTAAGTTCCAAAAGATATAATCTTGAAAGATGAAGTTAAAAAAATATTAATCTAAAAAATTTATTAAAATAAATCCAACAAAAAACAACAAATAAAAAGACTCAAGATACTCCAAATCAATTTAAAATTTCATCAAAAAAATCCTATAAAAAGTAGATAAAGAAAGAATGAAGTTTGATCACTAATAATATAAACGATGAAATTGATAAAAAAAAACATAAACTAAAAAAAAAACAACAAAAACAAACATGGACAAACTTTCTAGACACGGGCTAATGTCTCTATAACCAATAAAATTTTAGACCCGAGTTCAACAAAGAAACTCAATTTTCAACCATGTTAATTTTAAAGGATGGAATGAAATCAATTTAAAAAATCAGCGAAAGAAAATTTAACAAGGAACAACAAATAGAAAAACCTAAAATAACTTGGGTCATTTTCAAAATAAAAGAAAAAATATACAAAAAAAAATAATGGGTCTCAGTCTTTAATTGAATAAATGCAAAATGACAAAACTAAAAAAACACAAATTCAAAGAAAGTAAAAAAAAAATAAAGCAAATTTGAATTAACCTCTTAAATTTTAGTTAATCTCCAAAATTCACAATTCGTGAAATCTTAAACTCAAATTCAATCAAGAAGTTAAATTCCTAACTAATTTAATATTAAAAATACAATTATAAAAATATATTAATTTAAATGTTTTTTGAAAGTAAATAAAATAGAAATTAAAAAAAAAAGATGATCATATTTGATAGGAAAAAAAACTAAAGGAAAATGAAATTATATAATGATAATAATAATAATAAGGATTAATTTTGAAAGATTAAAAAAATTCAAGGAAGATAAGATTGAAAAGGAGTTTTAATTTTATAAATTATTAAAAAACATTATTCCAAATACATAAGGATGGAATCAAAAAGAAAATATTCATTAAAGAAATTAGCAACAAAAAAAATCAATAAATAACGATAAATAAAAAGATCCAATATAATCCTGGTTATTTTAAAAATTAGTGTAAAATTATTCAAAAATTATATAAATAAATATAATAGAGTTTAATGTCAAATTGAATAAATAGTAAAGAATGAAGCTAAGAAAAAATCATCCTAAAAAAAGAATAAATGTCGTAAAACTAGGCTAATCTCTAAAACTTGAACCTATAAAATCTTAAACCTAGAATAAACTAAGAAGCTCAAATATAAACTAATTTAATATTCAATAATGAAATAAAAAAATTAAAATTTCAAAATAGCAATGATAAAAAAAAATAAGAATCATATTTGATAGGAAAATAAACCGAAGAATAATGAAATTTTAAAAAAAATTGTCCTAAATAAAATAAATAACAATAAAAAAATAGGAATCAAATTTGGAAAGTTAAAAATTAAAGAGGGATGAAATTGAAAAATATTTATAATTCTATAAATTATTCAAAATTAAATAAATAGTAATAAAAAAAATAGGGACTAAAGCTGAATATAAAATAAATTAAAGGGGCTACTTTGAAATTTAATGGATGAAATAAATTGAAAATGAATGAAACTAATTTTTTTTAATTTTACAAATTATTTTAAATAAAGTAAATAGTAATCAAATGGATATTGATAAAATTTAAAGGAAAAATAAATTGAAGAGTTGTTTTGAGAATTTGAAGTAGGGGTGATCATTTTTTGTTCGGTTCGATTTTTATCAAAAAAGTACCTAAACCAGATTTGAAAAAACCAAATTCAAACCAAACCGGTTCAAATCGATCGGTTTTGGTTTAGTTCAGTTTAGTTTTTTAGGATAAAAATCTGTTCAAACTGGTTGGCTTGGATTTTTCGGTTTGGGTTTGGTTCGATTTAGTTTTTTCAATTTCAGGTTTATAAAACTGAAACTGAACAGAACCGGCTAGTTTTTTTTTAAAATTTTAATTGTTTTTATTAGTTTTTTTTATGGTTCGTTTTTTTTCCCAGATTTTCTTGGTTTAATTAATTTTTTAGTTTTTTTGCTTTTTCTAATTCAAAGGTCAGACATAGATAAAATTTAAAGAAAAAATAAATTAAAAATTTGTTTTTAGAATTCAAATGGTGAAACATGGAAATTAAAAGGTAGATGAAAAAGAAAAAAAAAAAGGAAAGAAAGAGAAGCTATCAACACCAAATTGAAGCTTTGTTGGTCATATGTATCACCTCTGAATAGATAGGCGATTAAGACGATGCAAGCTATATTATTGGCATCTTCGGTCGTTGTAATGCTCCGCATGCATCACTTTAGAACTTTAGAGGAGTGGATGCACTGACATGTTGAATACATTCATTAAGAAGTTTTTGTTTTAAAATTATATTTTATATTTATTCAAAGTTTAAATTGACCATTAGTTAACTTGATTATAGCAAAAACAATCACAATGAAAATACAAAAAAGACCCTAAACATTAGTTAATTTTTTTATTTTAATAGTAATATACTAATTTTACTGTGTAAAAAAAGTCAAAAGTTGAAAAATACCCTAGATGTCAATTAAATAAATTATGTATTAAAAGGTAATTTAATCATTCTTTTATATTTTAAAAAGTTAAAAAAATAATAATTTACCCTTAATTACTATAAAAATGACTAATGGACTTTGAAAAGGACTGTACTATCTCTTATAAGTTATAGCTAGTTGATTGATTTTTTTTTTGGGAAAGATAAAATAATAATTATGCTATTGTGATGAATAGTGATAAATGTAGGTACATCATAAATTATACTATATGTATATGTACAGGTACATCATAAATTTTCTTTATGTTTTAGCTTGTTTTTAATTTGTTATTTTTGTGGTTTTTCTCTTGGATTGGTACTAGTTTTTAGTGAAAATAGCTTGATTTGATATTAATTAAAAGTTGTTTGTTGATTTCTTAAATGAAATATGGTATTTATTTTCTTCTTTGTGTCTTGAGAAGTTTCGTGATTGGTTGGTGGAGTAGTTATATGATTGACCATGTTGAAATAGTGTTGTAATTGAATTTACATTATTTATTTTTATTTTTCAAAAGGTTTTGAGTAGGATCTTCATTTTGTATCAGAAGAAAAAAAAATCTGAAGTTATTAATCTTGATTTGGTTTGGCCTAAATCCAGGTTAAAACTTGGGTGAGATAATTTTGGTTAATCAAAGTTATATTTTTTATTTTTTTATAAAAAATAAAATAATGTTGTTTGATTTGGTTAATTACGCTGTGAATTGATTAGTTGGATTTCTTGTTTTTACTTGAATTTTTTTAAACCTGCTCGGAGCAAGTCTTGGATTGATTTTCTGAATTGAGTTAGCTTTAATAACGATGAACAAGGGATAAAAATGATGAAACATTTCTAAATATGAGTTTTAAATCTTTCTTGGCTGGGAATTATGAAGCTTAATTAACATGATAGAATCTCACGACTTGAAAAATGAGCTAATAGAGGTTTGCATTGATCTTTTGACTCGCTTCTGATTCTGAGTCTAACCAGTAACAGCAATATAAACACACTCTAGCGTCCAAGAAGTTAATCAATGGTAACTCATTAAGAAAAAGCTTGAAATCTTACTGCATGATTATAAGTTGAATGAAGAATGCAAGCCAATCGGGGAGGATTAGAAGAGGGATCTGATCAAATTAAAGAAAACTGGAAATAGGCTAAGCTTGAGTTGCATGACGGTCATGATGCCGAGAATTGTCTCTGGCTGTAGCAGTGGCGGATACATAATAGGAAACTGTGAAGAGTCCATGAACAAAACACAGAATGCCTCCAATTGACAGAACACGATTATGGGATATTCCACATAATTTTCTTGATTTTGAGTTCGCCAGTGTCCCTATGATCAGCAATGAGAACCCAATTGCCAGTATAATCCTGGTTTGCTCAGAACAGAAGTATGTGTATGTCAGAATCAAGTTTTGAGTTTGCAGTGTGTAGGTTTTGTTGTTTTGACAGTACATACCATGAGAAGAAAAGGGAAGCGACAGCTAGTTGCTTGTTAGCAGATGCCTTGTTGAATTCTTCCTTGGAGCACATGCAGGTGCAGCCACCAAGCAAGGTAGCAACGGTATGAGCAAGGGCAAGAAGAATCACCGCAGCCAAGCCTAGCTTGAAAGCTTGATGACTTGGGTCTCTACACTCAAAAATCCACATCTTTAAATGCTTCACCTGAATTAAGACCACCCAAATGAAGACATGATCAGAAACCAAAAGCTGAAGGAGAAATTGATACAAGGTTTCGATTCAAATGCGAACTGGTTTACCTTGTTTTGAGCCATCTCAGCTTCAATCCCAAGTATGCCAGCAACAACATCCAATGCCATGATTAAGAGACAAACCAGAAAACCAAAGTTTTTGGCCATTTTTCTTTTCAAGATTGACAAGAGGTGACAGTTTTAAAGAAGCTTGTGAACAAGAAGAAGATAGGCAGGGGAAATCTTTATAAGGAATTTGTCTTTCTTTACAAGCAAGCTTCATGAAAGGCATAATAAGGATAAAGTTGAGATTAGCAATACATATGAGAAGGATTAGCTGTGAGTTATGAGTGAAAAAGTTTCCTTTGTCTCGACATTTCTCTTTATTCTTTCTTTTGCTGCTTCTTTCCATATTCTGATTCTTTTCATGGGAGACAAGGAAAGTTGAGGCATCACCAGCAAGGTATTAATTACCATTGATGTGCACGCAGGACAACTATGAAGAGATCCTACCTCAAAATCGTAACTCATACAAATACTAAAGGAGATGTTCTAGGTCTATTTCAAAAGGAAAAGAACTTGAGGTTATGGTGAAAAGCCTCTCATTCATGTGAATTTCAAGAATAAATTATGCGTTGTCCATATAGATCCATGCATCAAAGTTCCAATCTTTTTCCTATGATTTAAAATTTCACAATATTTTATATGTAAATCCCAAAAGAACTTTATTATCTTGATTATTTAGACTATTGTGGTGCAAAATACTTTTTAATTAAAAATATATTAAAATAATATATATTTTTTATATTTTTAACGTTATCATATTAATACTATTAAAAAATATTAATTTGATATATTTTAAAAAAATAAGCTATTATAATACAAAATAAATAATGAAGTTTAAAAATGAACTCATCTTTTAAATACTTTTTTTAAAAAAAAATTTTGTATGTATTTTAAGTATTTTTTAAGGTAATGTAGGATAAAATGTGAGAAAAAAAGAAGAAGGAGAATATGACTAAAAAAAGGTGTGAGCTTTCATTGCTATTTAAATATTTAAATGATGAGGGGTAGCATTAGAATTTTCATGAAAGTATAGAAGTAATATTGAGAGACTTTAAATTATAGAGATGGAGGTGGAAAGATTGTGAATCTTTTGGAGTATTACAACTTCTATTTTTTGAAAATTAAGCTATACTTTCAAAATTTATCAAAATTTTATTTGATAATTTTTGTTTTTTTTTAAATAATGCTAATTTATTTTTTCTAAAATAAATTTTGAAATAATATATTAATTTAAAGTTACCCGGATCGACTAGTATTAATCCTTCAAAACCATGTGTTAAATCAAATTATAAGCATTATAAGCAGAAATATTATATTTTAGATCTTCATGACCCAATACAATTTCTAATTTGATTAATTTAATTCATAAAAAGAATTTAAAGTTTTGGCTTCTCCATGAATACATAAAAAAGTATGCTCCTATGGGACATTCTCTGCAAACACTATATATTAAAATATAGTAAAATAGATGCATTAAGCATGGTGTTTGGAATGCTTACTTAGCATTAGCGAATTGATATATAAGCTTTGTTGCTAGGTGATTGAAAATCAAACAAGTATTATAACTTTTACAAAATTAAAATTTAAAACATAATTATACATAAAACTCAGTATAAAAAATAAAAATTATTTAACTAACCATATAATTTTATTTTTATAGTTAAATAAAAAACAAAGGGTACTGCTATTCCCAACAAGTCTCTCCATCTTTTTTCCAAATTTTTGTTTATTTTTTTTTATTGTTTAAATCTCTTATATATTAATAAATTTTTATTCAAATATTTCTATTATTTACTTAATTCAATAACAAAATTATTAAATTATCACATAAAATTTATTTAATTTTTTATTTTTAATATAAATTTCTTAAGATATCAGCTTTCATTGAGTAAATATCATATCATAAAAAAAAACATAAAATCCCACACATAGTCTATTTTATTAGTCATGATATAATAATTTAGTAAATTAATGGATTTTATAATAAAAGTAAAAAAATTAAATCATATAAATCTAAATTTAAATTTCAAGTAATTAACAAGTATGTTAAATTAAACTAAAAAAGGATCTCATTGAAATTTTTTAACATATTGAGGATCTAATCAAGACAACAAATAAGTTAGAGATCTAATTAAGATTGAGATTATAGCTTGAGGACTTTTTTGAGGTTTGTCCAAAAAAGTGAAGTCCAGACATGGGTTGGATTGCTATCACATCAGTTTTACACTTGTCAGTCTGTGGGAGTCTTGCTCACAGAGTTGATCACAAATCAAGTTTCCGCCTTTTCTCTCTAGAAGAAGCCGGACACTTCTACAGAGACGGCAAGGAAGAATCATAGACAACAGAGTTTCTTTTGCCTCACAATAGTAAGGGGAAAGGAAAGAAGAAGGGAAGATGTCATCATCTTCAGTGTATTACCAATGGAAGAGCTTCGAGGAAGACGAAGATCGACCAGAGAAGCCTCGTAGATTTGGAGTTACAGAGATGAGAGGCCCTCAGTATACTCTTTTAAGCCAGAACATGCTTCAAGTATGTTTAAAGAATCTACCTTTTTTTCTCCTCGTCTTTTAACTTGCATATTTTTTTTGTTCGACACATCTTTCTTATATACCTTTTAGTTATTTTAAAAATGTTTTAAAAAACACCGTTCCAAATGCTTTTTCAAATAGCTCTTAAAAAACACTTTTATCACAGTCTCAATTAGCTCTTCTTGGTTTTGATGGATGTCCATCTTGCCATTTGGTGGACTAACTTATTATTGACTGAATTTAAGGAAATGAAATGCTAGCTCCGTGTATTTTTGCTAGGAATCACCATGTGTTTGATGTAGTTTAACAATATGCTGTGGCTTTTTGTTAGGAATCCTTTTCCCCCCCGAGGGGATGTGTTAATTTTAGGGTGATAGAGAATCATTTGAAGTGTTTCTTGATTGACCCAAATAGAGTTAGAGCAATAATAATTTAAAAATTACTAAGTCTAGCTAGGAACTTCAAAAGTGAGACACATCGAGAAAGATTTGCAAGTTAAGAATTGAAAATTAGTTTTGAGCATTTTGTTACGATTTGTTCTAAGGGGTGTTTCTGCAATGCCATCTTCGTAGAACGTTCTGTGACATATTTTTAATAAATAAATTTGGTAACATTGTGGAAACTGTTTAACATATATCATTTTGTTTTTCGTCGAATGCTTATTGGAGAAGTCTAACTATGTAAAGTCATGGAATTTGAGTCTCTACTTTGCTTCTACTTATGCATACTCACACAGAGCTTGGCAGGATGTTTTTGAGACAATGGGGCAGTTTGTTGATGGACTGAAATTCTCTGGTGGTTCTCATAGTTTGATGCCTAAGTCTTTTATTAAAGAAGTGATTGAAATGGCCCACAAACATGATGTGTATGTTAGTACCGGTGATTGGGCTGAGCATTTGCTTCATAAAGGTCCAACGGCTTTCAAAGAGTATGTTGAGGTGAGGGAGAGAAGAGAGATTGATTATAACAAGTGTGCGTGCACACACATTTATAATTGTTTTATAATGTTTTATTGGACGGTCATTTGGTTTTGCTACTGTGATGCTCTTTAGGAATGTAAAAGTATGGGGTTTGACACAATTGAGCTGAATGTGGGATCTCTTGGAGTTCCTGAAGAAACACTTTTGAGATACGTGCGCTTGATTAAGAGCGGTGGTTTGAAAGCCAAGCCTCAATTTGCAGTCAAGTTTAACAGGTCAGACATTCCGATTGGTGGGCATAGAGCATTTGGGGCTTATGTACCCCCAACACCTCGAAGCTCTGGTAAGGAAGCAGCAATTAGCTTGTTGTCTGTTTTCTTAGGAAATATATTGCTTGAAAATGGAGGGATATAAGCTTAGCATAATGGCTGATGAACTAGGGAACAAGGTGCATCCGAAACTCTGAAGTCATATTTTGTCATTCAGTTGCAGGATATGCAGGCTGAGCTATAGTTAGATATCTAGCTCAAATGGATAATTGATCCATGGATATAAAAAATAAGCCTAAAGTATTTTTTCAAAATCTCTCCACTTGATTCATTGGAAAGGTAATGCAGGATACTGCTGATTGAATGTGTAAAGCATTTGCTGTCTACTGAGTCATTACTTTAGCCAATGGTCAAATTAAGGTTTTCAGTATCATAGCATGTGTTAAAATGTTGAAGGCGTTGATGTGATACTCCAATCAGTCAATGTTCCAAGTTTAATTTAATAATCCATTACTGCTATGCTCACGCACATGTTTGTGATTTTCATGGTTGCAAACCATTGAGGGCTTGGATTATCAATTTCTCTTTATGAAATTGGCTTCATTCAGATTTAAAGAAGTATTGAACACTGTTTGTGGGAATCCAACTACCATCAGAGAGATCTAGATGGGGGAAAGAAATTGCCCTAATTTGGGAGAAAATGGATTAGTTAATAACTACTCTTTAAAACACGGTTGTTCAAACAATTATAGAAAAAAACTAGTGTATGCCCTAGTAAAATGGTGGTTGAAGTGACAACAAGATGTTGAAGCACCTGAATTCAGAGAAGCATGCAGTATTTCCAAGGATGCTTGGGTTAGAGTTGAAATATGCGTGTAACAGAAATTTAAATTTTGTAAATTTCCAAGCTTATAAGGATCTATATCTTTGTTTCACAGAACTGGTTGAAGATGTTAATCTCCTGATTAACATGGCCGAGAGATGCTTAGAGGCTGGGGCAGACATGATTATGATTGATGCAGACGACATCTGCAAGGACGTTGATTCTCTGAGAGCAGATATAGTTGCAAAAGTAATTGGACGACTAGGTCTTGAGAAGACCATGTTTGAAGCATCAAATACTAAAACTGCAGACTGGTTTATCAAACGTTATGGCCCAAAGGTAATATTCCTCCGTCTCTCCTTAATCATATGGTGAAATCAAGCATCAAACTTTGATATAACTGTTGCTAATGACACGTATTCTTTCTCAGGTGAACCTCTTTGTGGATCATTCTCAAGTAATTGGTCTAGAATGCCTCCGAGGCAGCCACAACATGGGTAGAAGACATGCTTCTGCCCTTGGCTCCTCGTACTTTCTCTTCTGAACTCTTGTTTTGCGAACGGACAGCATTTTCCCTGTTGTAAGCTGGAACTTGATATGTTAAGTCTACCAACTTTGTGATATCTTTGTCAGTAATGCTAAATGTGTGAGACTGATCATATGTTGCATGCATGTCTCAATCGTGCATGTTCTAATGTAAGATGTCTGCTGATTTTGAGCTCATCATAATATCATATTCCTCTCCTGGTGATTTCCCACGTGTCAGAATCTGGTCCTTTATCGTTTTTTTCTCTCTTGGCTTGGTCATTCACAATGCGTAATGATAGGATACAACTATTTGAGATTGGATAAATATATATAATAATATGAATTTGACTGAATATTTGATTTGATGAATAA